ATGCGTTTTGGTACATTTTCTGAAAGTGCACCAAAGAAACGGCATACAGGACTTCTGGTGTGCTTTCAGAAAATGTGCCAAAAACGCAGAACCTAATAGAAAGACTATGGGGAACCACGAGTAAACTGCATGAAAACCACTGGTACACCCGTGCTGTGGCCAAACCGCAGTGCAGCCCTAAAAAGTTGTAAAATATATTTCAAGTAGCACCACAGGAGGAGAGGAGATGTGGATGTGTAGAGATGGACAGCCACCACTATCATCCAACAAAAAATGCATTTTGTTGTGCAAATAGAAACTGGTACATTTTCCCCTCATGTGCCAATCTTTTTTAATCCCCTATATATGTGTACAGTCTTGTAACATGTGGTATCAGAGCCCTCAGTTGTCCAGAAATGTACAGAATGTCCTTAAAGTGTCACTAAACCCAGGACCCTGCATTCACTCTATCTGGTCTCCAACAGTACACGCAACATGGAAATGCAATTATTTTAGTAAATATAAACTGCTAAATACCTTTTCTCATCAGCAGTTAGAGCAGTCTTGGGACTTCTATCAGTGTTCAGCACTGGTTAAAGCTTGTAGGAGGAGTTTTCATTCTGCTGTAGGAGGACGCATAACCCTTGACCTCTGTCTGGAAAGTGCTGATTGGCCCTGTGCTGATCCCATGCACTCTCCCAAGAAAAAAAACAAACAACCTCTCTAGCAATACACACCAAACTGAGCATGTGCAGAGTGACTCCACACGATATGTATTATCAAGAGATAAGAGGGGGGCACTGGAAGAAGGGGAGGATCAGTGAAGTCAGGATGAAACAGCATTTTTACACAATGCAGAGGATTAACCCCTTAGGTCCCACAGTGAGTATAACAATCATGCTTTACTGCATATACAGACTGATTTTACTGTTGTGGGTTTAGTAATACTTTAAGGCTGTCTATAAAATCATTAATCGTCCATAAAAAATGCATTTTTTGTGTATTTGAATGTCAACCTGGTTATATTAAATCTAAACTCGACAACCAACTGCAAATGGCGGTAGCCAGCTAAATAGAGGAAATGCTTTATATGGCACAGCTCAAAATAGCATGAGGAAAAATTGCTCATTCAGCATTACACACAATAGTTATGTGATATATGTACAGTATATTATCATTGGTAGATTGGTAAATTGTTTTGAAAATATGAAATAATTCTATAATATATTAGAAATACTCTCTCTCTCTCTCTCCCTCTCCCTCTCTCTCTCCTAAATGGTTAGCACTTCCGTCTGGCAGTACTAGGGTCGTCGGTTTAAATCCCAGCCACGGCACCACCTGCCTGGAGTTTGCATGTTCTCCCTGTGCCTGCATGGGTTTCCTCCCACACTCTAAAGACATGCTGGTAGGTGAATTGGCTCCTGTCTAAATTGGCCCTAGTATGTGTATGTATGAATGTGAGTTAGGGACCTTAGACTGTACGCCCCTTGAGGGTTAGGGACTGATGTGAATATACACTATATATATGTAAAAGCGCTGCGTAAAATTGACAGCACTATATAAGTACCTGAAATAAATAAATAAATGAAAATATATATATATATATATATATATATATATGTTTTTTTTTGTTTATTTTTTTTTTCCCAGTGGTTAGCCCAGTCACAATCCCAATTGTTTGGGAAGTTCTACATAAAAAAGTTTGCCTACGGACAAGCTCATGAACAGAATGGCATCACAAGCCAGTATTTATTTTGTCAGATGTAGTATCACACTTTTGTGAAAAAGCAAGTTCTATAAAACACATACTATGTTTAAGGCCTATGTACTATGCAGCTCTATCATTTGCCGATGAGAAGAGTTGTGCATTCCCCCTTTCCCCCTGTCCAGAAGTGGTACTGTCCTTTTTTTTTCTAACACTTTTTAGAGATATTCTTCCTTGGCTGTCTAGAAAATTCCTGTCTGGCTGGCATAATGTACCAATAGGAAGAAAAACATTCTGTCACCATTGCTTATACAAGATACAATGACTTTCCTACTTTTTTTATGTTTTCTTCTAAGACTGCAAAATGGCCATCATGTAGAACTGTGGGTAATGGTTGTGGCCAGATGCCAAATAACAGGGGCCGAGGTCCTCTTTTGTATGATGGATGAACACAGTAAGGTTTTGTTTTTAGAGTGGACTTGTAAAATCAACAGCATTTATCACTACGTTGTGTAAAAGACTGCAGAAACAATCCTTTCAGATTTTATCCAGGCTGGCAGAAGAGCATAATACACCTTTATTGGCCAATTGTGTTGATCTGACAGATCGGTCCGGATACAGACTCTGATTGTGTGTGTTCAGCATTGTCTTGTTTATGAAAACACTTTGGCACTTCAAAGCTGTCAGAATACAATGGCCTGGCAGGAGAAAGAACCAGAACGTGGTGCAAGAAAGTTGTGTTCTGTGTGCGTTTCCCACAAAGGCAGTGCATTTGAGCGCAGTGCAGGAAACGGACAGAGAACACACCTTCTTCGCACGGTACTTGAACGCACTGCCTTTGCAATCTGCTCCAGGTACCAATGTAATGTTACTGGCACCCCAAACTAGAGATGTGCACGACAGAATTCCTTTGTTTACGTTAATAATTTAATTTCCTCATATTCGTTATGTTAGAATGATTCATTTTAGGAATTTATTTCGTATATTTGGCTTAGTTTCTTATATTCATTATTTGCAAATCAATTAGAAATCGACATTCAGACAACAGCTATATTCATTCTGTTTTAGTCTATTCTGTTCTGTTTTTGTTATTCTATTCTATTTTGTTCTTTTCTATTCTGTTTTCTATTCTGTTCTTTTCTATTCTATTATTTTAATTTCTATTCTATTCTTTTATATTCTAGTTCTTATTTATTTATTACAGGTACTTATATAGGGCCGTGCTTTACATATATATTGTACATTCACATCAGTCCCTAACCCTCAAGGGGTGTACAGTCTAAGGTCCTAACTCACATTCATACATACACATACTAGGGACAATTTAGACAGGATCCAATTAACGTACCAGCATGTCTTTGGAGTGTGGGAGGAAACCGGGAGTAACCAGAGGAAACCCACACAGACACAGGAGAACATGCAAACGCCAGGCAGGTGGGTTTCAAACCAACAACCCTAGTACTGCCAGGCGGAAGTGCTAACCATTTAACCACTGTGCTGACCATTTACATATTCTCTCCTATTCTGTTGTATTCTATTCTAGCCTATTATTTTCTATTCTGTTTTATTGTATTCTATACTAATCTGTTCTATTCTATTCTGTTTTATTCTATTACATTTTGTTTTATTCTATTCTATCCTCTTTCATTCTATTCTATGCTTTCATTTCCTATTCTATTCTGTTTTATTCTATACTATTTTTTTGTATTCTATTGAACAGCCTAAGGAGAAATCATCGTCTTATTTCACTTTTATATCCTACTGTATTTATTGCAATATATTTCCATTTTGAAATTAAATTCATTTTCGAAATCGGATTTATTTTCAAATTTAAATTCAGATCATTTGTTTTCTTATAATTTATTTTGGATTCGTTGAAATTCGTTACTATTGTGATTCTGAAATTCAGGTACATCTGAATATCCTCCATGAGCAGGGCCATCCTATTCCTTCTGTATTGAACAGTATTGTAATTGTACTGCCCCCTTTATATTGTAAAGCATTGTGTAAACTGTTGGTGTTATATAAATGCTGTGTAGTGATAACAATAATAATAATATCCGAACAATGAAAATTTGGTCTGAATTTTGATTCCTAATGAAACTAAGCGCACATGTCTACCCCAAGCATAGATTGCAAATGATTGCAGTATTCGTGCGATTTGTTGCAGCACATTTTTTAAAAGTAGTGCATGCACCACATTCTGGTGCAATTCCAACCTATTCAAATGAATGGGAATTTACAGGAATCGCACACATATGCATAGTGTTCTGCGATCCTGGTGTGAACTGGCTCTGCAGGCTGGCTGATATCTCTAACTATTGGCAGACTTTTTGGATTAGGATTGATATAGCAAATCTGTGACATTCCTAGCGATGTCACTACTGCTCTACTCTATAAAGACAGCTGCTCTGTGTGAGCAGATTTAATCCAATTTAAATCTTATAGACCTAAGTCATAAGTTCCGGAAAAACCATAGATATTACGTGAGTTGCTGATATATATTTTGAAAGATGTTGTAATACATGCACAAAATTTATGGCTTTAATTCCAGGCAAAGTCATGTACCTTAGAATTTCGGTAAACCATAACAGCAGTGATCAGCTGTCATTTCTCTTCTAAAGGATTAGCCTAGACGGCAATTGTGCAGCCATAGCTGATCAGCTCTTCTTGCTGGGTGCACACTTGTGCGGTGCGGCATATCACATGCGATTCACACAGGATCCGAAACACATTCCACATGTGAATTCTGTGCGGTGCAATTTGAGCCATACATTTTGTATGGCTCAAATCGCACTGTATCCACACCAAAAAGGCGCAGGACCCTTTTTTTGGTCCTGCACTAGAATCGGATCACATGGGTATTCACACCCATGCGATCCGATTCTGCACATTACACCGCATTTTGTGGACTGATTTCAGCGTGTTGTTAACATACACACCTGCAGCGGTTCGCATGAACGGGGGGTGTGATAGTGATGCAGTGCGGAATTCGCACAGAAAGTCCGCACTGCATCAGTGTGAACCCAGGCTTAATGTGCTAGTTGAACTCTAATGTTAAAGCACAGTGAACATGGGCCATGTGCAAATTGTTCATTTTTAGTAAATACTGGGAAAGCTCTTCAGTAGTGGAATAATTCACAGTAGCAAAGGTGTTTCTGTTGCCTATTGTATCCCCCAGATCAGCTAATTGTAACCTATATCTACAGAGCTGCAATTACTGGGTGGAATTCTGGTCTGAGAAGATAGTCAACAGAGCTGTATACTCAGCCCTGACTATTAGGTGAGCATTTTGCACCACACTCAAGAGAAAGGATAATATGACAATCAGGGGCGGACTGACCATTTGGAAACTCGGGCACTGCCCGAGGGCCCGGGGTCAGGAGGGGGCCCCATGAGATGCCCCTGGTACCTTTTTCATAGGCTTTTTTGAGTTTGGGCAAGGACACAGGGGTCCTATGATCCCCTTTTTGCCCGGGGGCCCCATGAGTTGTCAGTCCGCCCCTGATGGCAATTAGGTAATTCAGTAGCTAAAGAAATCCAGCCCTTAAAGTTTTACTAAACCCACAACAGTATAATCAGTCTGTATTTGCAGTAAAGCATGCTTGTTATACTCATGGTGGAACCTAAGGGGTTAATCCTCTGCAGATACAAAACCTCCTGCGCTCAGAGACCCAAATCAGAATTCAGCTGGTAGAACCATATATAAAAGTTCATCCAATGGCCGATCAAAGGTTGTGCAGCTTAAACACAAGACTGGGGAAGCCCAACAGAAACTGTAATGGAGAACAAAAACACAAGTGCACCAAACTTGTGCATTACCTCAGTAAGTAAAGGGTGAATGTATTACATTGAGATATATATACTCACAAAAGTAGCATTGGTAAAAGCATATAAAATCCAACATCAGCATACTGGAATAGCAGACAAGTGCAGGTCCCATCGAGAGGAGAGAGACTCTCAGAATGAAGCTAACGTGTTTCGAAGGGGGATCCCTTCTTCACTCAAGAGAAAGGATAATATGACAATTAGGTAATTAGTTAGCTAAATAAATCCAGCCCTTAAAGTGTTACTAAACCCACAACAGTAAAATCAGTCTGTATATGCAGTAAAGCATTCTTGTTATACTCATGGTGGAACCTAAGGGGTTAATCTTCTGCATTGTGTAAAAATGCTGTTTGATCCTGACTTTTCTGATCCTCCTTTCTTCCAGTGTCCCCCTCTTATTTTCTGATAAGACATATCATGTGGAGTCACTCTGCACATGCTCAGTATGGTGTGTATTGCTAGAGGGTTTTTTTTTTCTTGGGAGAGTGCATGTGGTCAGCACTGGGCCACTCAGCACTGTCTAGACCAGCCTTTCTCAACCAGAGTGCCCAGGTACCCTGGGGTGCCTTGAGGTTTCTTCAGGGGTGCCTTGGCAAAATGTCTAAAAATTGCCCAAAACTTGTATACAAGCCAGTAGGTGGAACAAGCCTGCCTTTTAGTTACACAAAGCCACAGGTTGTCATTGTGCACCATTACAACCTTATAGACACCAGCGTCCTGACAACCAATGACATCAGTTGATAAGGAGGATGTTAGCTGCCTACAAAGCATCCTACTTTGACCCACCCCTGCCCCTCTTCATAAATTCTGGGGTCACATTAGCTCAGTGATGGAGAAAAAACTGAGGGAGAAGAGAAACACTGGCATACTAGTCAGTACCAATCTGCAAAAGTATATTTGCTTTGGAAGAATAAATCACTTCTAACATTGGGTGTCCTACATGTGTGGATGTTTCTGCATTCTATAAACTATTAGAATAGTTTTTCACATTTTAGAATGGCGTGCCTCAAGACTGTCCATAATTTTAAAGGTTGCCATGGGACTGTTCATAATTTTAAAAGGTGCGTAGACTGAAAACAGGTTGACAAACACTGGTCTAGACAGAGGTCAGGGGTTCTACATCCTTCTACAGCAGAATGAAAACTCCTCCTACAAGCTATAACTAGTGCTCTGCTGGACACTGATAGAAGTCACAAGGCTGCTCTAACTGCTGATGAGAAAAGGTATTTAGTGGTTTATAGTTACTAAAATAATTGCATTTCCATGTTGTGTGTTCTATGGGAGACCAGATATAGTGAATGCAGGGTCCTGGGTTTAGTAACACTTTAACTGGAGAGATAAAGTGCTACATGAAAGTGGAATCTCAATGGTTGCTTTCATTTGCTGCATCATGTTGCCTCTTGTGCTCCCTTGTAAATATGTTAAAGTAGATAGAGTGGAGAGGGATTAAAAAATCTGATGGGGGTTATAACCCTCCCTTGGGATCAATGAACACTGGCTTAAAAATTGCTGCTTCTACAGGAGTTGTGTGTTTTGCCTGTAGAAGCAGCTCAGTGTTATCCTATGTGTCCATGCACATTAGGATGATTAGAGGCATATTTTAAGCTCAATGTATAAAAGCAGGAAAAAAAATGCTTCCGTAATGCATTTTTGATTGGAGCTTTCTGTCAGAAAAAATGCTAAACTCTCCTAAACTTGCCTAAATTGTGTGTAATAACGATCTATATCAGAGGTTTTTCTTTCTCTGCAAAGGGAACTGGTGTTTTTTTAAGCCCAGTGTGCCTGGAGCCTTTGTTCTAAACCGGCTGTTTGGGTGATGTACTTGGTTTTCCACACCATACAAAAGTGAAACATTTTAAAATACACTGCTTTGACCTTCTGAGCCATATGCCACTTTGGGTTGACCTTGAATTGAGTTCACCTTTAGAAACATGTTGCATGTTCCACCCATTTTTACCCCCGGTTCACACCTATGCGGGCGTGCGGCCCCCGTTTTGCATGGACACGAGAGCCCATTCATTTGAATGGACTCCCGTGCCCATGACACACAGGAAAGAAGTCCCTGCACTTCTTTGGAAACCGCAGCCCACACGGGAACTTAGGTTCCCAGTACGGTTGCGTTTCCCAGTGCGGGCGGCATGCCATTAGAACTAATGGCACCCGCTCGCGGGTCCGCAATTCTCCGTGCAGGTGGTGCGGCTGCATGGATTTTCATGCGGATCTGCAGTGGCACCACCCGCATAGATGTGAACTGGGAGTTAGGGTGGAACATGTAACATGTTCCTGCTCCTGCAGCTGCTCCCCACGCTCCCTGTGACAGCAGGTCAGGGATCTTCTGTCTGTACCAGCTGTCATTATTTGACAAGACTGCTCCGCCCACACAGCTGCGTCATTCATTCACAGAGTTCCGTGAATGGAAGAACTACAAGTACTGACAGCCATTGCGGCTATCGACTTGTAGCTCTCAAAGAACTACAAGGATGCTGTTGAGCGCTCTAGGTAGTTAATTGTCTCTTCCTGTCATTGCATAATTGCCTTCCCTTACGAGGTACGAGCAGACAAGTCTACAGGAGTCTTACATTGCACCCACGACCTGCTGATCAGGGGTGCAATGCTTCGCAGGCTCCTAGTAAAAAAAAAAAAAAATGAATGTACATTTTTTTTCCCAGCAAAAAGATATACATTTAGTATTTTTTTTACAAAGGTGAACTTATCCTTTAGTTAGTGAAAATCATTGATCAGACATATCTGGTATTGAGTAGACATCCAATAGAAAAATCAAAGAATCCCCTGCGCTCAAAGGTGGTATGCTGATGATGGATAAATGTCAGGTCTTTGGCACTTCCAATCCTCGCACAGGCTTTGAAACCCAGAAGAATCATTGCAAAATAAGGGAAGACGGGTGCACCAGCCTAGTGCATTATCTGAGACAAAAACTTTAATAGAACAAATATAAGTACATACTCACAAACAGCTGTGATAACAATAGCTTGTCAAAGTCCAAAGCGACCTGGTCACCAAGTCAACTCCCAAACCATGAGAGGACCCTTCAGATGGCTGATGTGTTTCGAGGGGCGGTCCCCTCGTCCTCAGAGCTGCTCTTGGACTTGGTGACCAGGTCGCTTTTTGTCTCAGGTAATGCACTAGACTGGTGCGCCCTTCTTGCCTTATTTTACATGAGTAGACATCAGCTGATCATAGACAATGGATTAGCAAGTTGGGGTGATGATTATTTAAAAACAATCTTTACTTTAAAATGCATGCTTGGATAGCTCATGCCTGCATATAAAAGCATTTAGAAAAGAGAGGGAAAAATCATTCATAAAGCTCTGGTCTACTCACCAGTTAATTATAAAATAAAGCCAACCCAGGAAGTAGCTAGACTTTATGGCCAAAAGATTTATAGACAAAACTATGGACATTAATATGGAGTTGCTCCCCTTATGCAGCTATAAGAGTCTGTCTGTGGGAATATGTGCATATTAGGCCAAAAGAGCATTTTGAGGTCAGGTAATGATGTTGTATGAGAACACCAGGCTTGCATATATGTGTTTAATTAAACCCATGTGAAGTGCATGAGAGCAGAAGTTCTCCTAGGTCTCTGCCTCCTCAATAGTTGAGGACAACGGCTCCTGCTGCCATTAGTCACAGCCAGTCAGGAAGGAGTAGGGGGGTGGGCTGAGCCATGCTCTGTGTGTCTGATTGACACACAGAGGCAGCTTGGAAATAAGCACACACGAGTGCCCCCAGCACAAGCAGTTTGCTCTGGGAGCACTCAGCAGGATCAAGGGACATGGAGCACCGGTGGGCAACCTGAGAAGAAGAGGATTGGGCCTACTCTGTGCAAAACCATTGAGCAGGTAAGTATAACATGTTTGTAATTAACCAGTTTCAGACCGCCTCATGCAGATATACTGCTGCAGGGTGGCCACTCTGTGCTGGATCATATATCTGATACGTGATCTTGCTCTCCTGGGTAGGGTGCACATGTGTGCATGCACCACCCCAGCTGTGCTGTGATTCATCACAGCACAAGCCGATCAGTGGGTACCAGCCAATGATTTATGACCCCGCTGACTGGGGGAGTCAATGACAGAAGAGAGCTCTGTGATTGTGAACAACACAGAGCACTGTCCTGACAGCATGATGTGCCAGTTTTTGTTTCCCTGCAAAGCAGGAGATAAAAACCAGCACATCCCTTAGTAAAATCAGCACACAGTAAACACTTTACATTTGTTAGGCACACCCTCTGATTGCCCCTAAATGTTAACCCCTTCCCAGCCAGTGTCATTAGTACCGTGTCAGTCTATATTATTAGTACTGATCACTGTATTAGTGTCACTGGAGATGTCAGTGGCAGTTAGTTCCCACACAGTGTTTGTTAGTGTCAGATTGCCCACTGTACTATTTCTTCCCGCTATAAGTCACTGATCACTGTTATTACAAGTAAAGAAAAAAAAAATTATAAATAAAAATTCCTGTATCTTTACCATAGTTTATTGCTGCTATAACGTTCACTTCAACCAATCAATATACATTTATTGGAATATTTTTTACCTAAGACATAGCAGAATCAGGGGCGGAATGACCATTTGGAAACTCGGGCACTGCCCGAGGGCCTGGGGTCAGTAGGGGGCCCCATGAGATACCCCTGGTACCTTTTTCATAGGCTTTTTTGAGTTTGGGCAAGGACACAGGGGCC